GAGGGACCACAAATTGTAAAGAAACATTAATTAACATATGTGGAAAAGTGAGACAATTATTGAGTGTGAAATTGGCATAAATGCATAGGACCAAAAGTGGATATAACTCATTGGATAATATGGATAGCAGCATATATGCTCATGGTGTGTCTGATCCCACTACTTTATTTGCCCCCTTGCAGCACACATTTATGCATTTTCTATTCCTTTTGTTTTTTTTTCTTTTCCACAATTCTTTTTTCTTCTCCATCAAATACTAAAAATGTAATTACGGTTTTAGTTTTCTTTTTCTTCAACTTACATTACAACTCAATCTATTTTCTTATTTTTATCAATTCATAGCAAAACAATAGTAATCTAAACAAAATAAATATATTGCATTTCACATTCACAGACTTTTTTATTTCTGTTATATTTTTTATACATTTTTTGTAATATTTGTTTGTGTCATACACTTTTTGTATTGTTAATCTTAATAAAATAAGTATATTACATTTCACATTCGTACACTATTTTTATTTCTATAATGTTTTTTGAATTAGGAAAAATTGAAAATAACAATCTCAACTATTGTCGGCCCGCTAACAATAATCCCAACTATTGATTATTTTTGTATAATCCTAGCTATATGGACCGTCCGCCAATAATGGTCCATGGTCAGATAACAAGTGAATTTCAAATAGAAATTAAGCGTAAAAATTAAAAGTTGGGATTATTTATAGGGATTACTTGTTATATATTTTCTCATCTACTTTAGAAACTATAGTAATTTATTTATAGCTGGTCACATCGGACCATTATTGGCGGAATGTCCCTAAAGTTGGGATTATTCTGAAATAATCAATAGTTGGGATTATTATGAGCGGACCGCCAATAGTTGAGATTACTATCAATTTTTCCTTTGAATTATACACTTGTAATTTTTTTTATATTCATACACTTTTATCTATAATATATTTCTCATCCCTTTTAAATATTCTTAGTATTTTTAAAACATTTGGATGTGCTTCAACAAGTTACATTTTGCTTAAACCCATATTATTGAAACAAAAAATACAATCTATGATATTTTTGGGGAAAATACTTATTTGAAAAAAAAATGATTTTTCTTTAAAACATTTTTATGGTGTTTAATATTAATAAAAATATAATCACTATTTACGTAAATTAATTGAAAAATTAAATTCCTTGTTTTCTATGTTTACATTTGATATTATATGAAGTTACATCTTTTTATGTGCGAGTTACATCTGCTTATACGTGAATTACATCTTAATATACGCGAATTACACAACGAAATAAACTCATGCTAATGATCAAAAATGATTTTTTTAACTATATCATTTTTTATAACCCAAATATTAAAAAGACACATTCACTATTTACAGAAAGTAATTGGGCAATTAGGATCATTTTTTTATTGTTTACATTGAAACCAATGTTTATAATATATATAAGATACTCCGTAGTTTACATTTCAACTTTTCTAGATTTACATTTTAATGTACGCGAATTACATCTTAATGTACGCGGGTTACACCACTAAATAAATCCATGCTAATGATCAAAAAATGATTTTCTTAACTACATCATTTTTATAGACCTAATATTAAAATTAAAACATATTCACTATTTACAAAAAGTAATGGTGCAATTAGGATCAATTTTTCATTGTTTACATTGAAATCAATGTTTTTTTCTCATATTCCGTTTTAGACTATTTACATTTCAACTTGACTCGAGTTACATTTCCTATCAACCTGAGTTACAATTCTTAAAAAGGGAGTTACTTCACACTACTACTGAAACACACACACAAAAATCATTGTTCATCTGCGGTATTGTTCATGCGTGTTTTATTTCAGGGAGCATGGTGTAATAATGTACGGAGTATTTATTAATATTAATTAGGTCGTCTAATTATAGTAGGAATCTTGATGTATCTTGGACTCTTTTATTATAAATAATACTTCTAGGGCTACCATTCAGGTAAGCCTCCACATTTTTCTCACATGGTAACAGTCTATCTGAGCCTAGGGTTCTAATTTTTTACGTTTCTATGTCTACTGCCGCGGCGACATCGACCACCATGGCAGCGCCAACCACGGCCACGCCTACTGTTACATCGCGATAGTGCACCGATACCACGATGTACGAACTACCTGAGATGAGTGTTTACAAAGTGATGTAGGAGTTTTGGATGATAGTAACGGCGCTATTGATATGCTGGTTGCTACCTCCATTCCTCCAAGCTCCAACCTCATCTATGGCCATTGGCATGTTAATCTTAATGATTCCATGAACAAGATAACACCTATGAGACTTTTTTTGAGGCCATGAAAATGAAGGGTAGGGTACCAGAGTAGTGATATATAAACCTTCCAGACTTCCCGTCTTCAACTTTTAGAAGAATGATCTAGGGATGGACTGGGACGGGACTAGGTCGGGCTTCAGGATGGGACTGGGCAGGCTTCGGGCTTAAGGAGTTCAGGCCCGGTAATGGCCCGAGTTTGTACCGGGATCGGGCCGGGCCCAAACAGTACCGGGCCGGGCTTCGGGATGGGACTGGACATTCAATTACAAAAATAGTGCAATCGAGCCCGGTCGGGCAAATAAAACGAGCTCGAAGCCCGCTCTTATAGCCACCGGGCCTATACAGTAACGGGCCGGGTTGAGCCTAAACATAATGAGTCCGCGCGCTTTTAATAATACCACCAGAGCTTCGGTGTTGAATGTCTTCACATAATCTTAAGCCCAACCTACCACTAGGCACTAGCAGTAGATCTATATACTCCGTATATCATATCATTCATACCTACTAGGCCAACGGCGATTATTACCATCCTGATTAGAACCTCGAAAAAATGGAGATCTTTCAAACTCAGAAACAAGTATTACTATGTCTTATCCAAACTAAAAACAAGACAAAATTCAAAACAAAAAATATCTACCTAACAATGACTAACTAAAAAAGCGCTGTTTTAGACTAAAAATAAGCATTAAAAATCATAAAAACTAGGAAACAAAAAAACAACAAATATCTAATCAACCATGACTCCACTATAATCACAACGTTGCAACACTAAGATGAACTATTGTTTTCCAAACTCAAAAATAAATACGAAGTAGTAAAATGTGTTGTTCAAAACTAAAAACCAAGAAATAGTCCAATGTCGAAAAACCATGACTACACAACGACCATGAGTCCATGACATTGCTACAAAGGGCATGATAAAAAAACATTTCAGCCTTAGTCTAAAAAAGTCTCATCCCATCTAGTATAATCCGACATTCCCACTTACACTCCATAGTTCATATACTCAGTCTTGTTTTGACTAAGTTTGAAACCCCTGTTCTCGAATGTTTATTGTCATATTTCCAACTTCGCATTAACACTCGATTGTGTCTCATCAATCAATACAATATTGTTGACAAACGTCATGTACAACGGTATATCATCTTGAATTGACTTCGTAAGTTCACCCATGACAATGAAAAATAAGAAAGAACTCAGATCCGATCATTGGCACACTCCAATAGTAATAGGAAAATCGGCAGTCCTCCCTACACTAGTAAGAACACTTGTAGTACAATCCTCATACATATCCATGATGATGTTTATATATATATATATATATATATATATATATATATATATATATATATATATATATATATATATATAGGATTATTCCTGTCTGGAATTTCCGGACAGGAGCCCCGTCCGGCCTCCTCCATTTGGGGGCCTTCCCGGTGGTATTTTTTGCTCAAATTTTTTTTGTATGTTCCTCATCAAGTCTAGTTCATCCATACCAAATTTCAGCAAACAATTCAATCGGGAAGGTCGTTAAATGATTTTTGCAAGTTAACTGGTCCGGAATATGTATTTTCCGGGCCAGTTAACTTGCAAAAATCATTTGACGACCTTCCCGATTGATTTTTTTTCTGAAATTTGCTATGGATGAACTAGACTTGATGAGGAACATACACAAAAAATTTGAGCAAACAATACCACCGGGAAGGCCTCCAAAAGGAGGAGGCCGGACGGCGCTCCGGTCAGGAATGACCTTAGTTGTTGTCTTGTTGAGCAACTAGATATAAAACCAATTTGATTCTCTAAAATCGCTTCTTTGGAGCCTTTGCTCAATCACTCCTCCCAAAATTTCATGGTATGACTAATAAGTTTAGAGCCCGTTTGGTAGCACCAAAATCGGCTGTTTTGGCTGATTCCGCTGAATTTTATGAAGTTCTGAAGTGACTGCATTGGTTGATTCTGCTGATTTAAGAAAAAATACTTTTAAAATATATTTTATTAATAAAATAAAGAAAAAATTATATGCAAAAATAGCTAAAATGGTCATCTACAGTAACTTCAGTCAATACAGCCAGAAAAGTAACTTCAGCCTTACTTTTTTTGCTTATTACACAATTCAGCGCGCGAAAGCAAAAATTACGTGTTTGGTAAAAAAATTGGCTGATAAACCTGATAACAGTGTTGCCAAACGACCTCTTAATCTCACAATAGTTGACACATTGTTGTAAATCACCCTTAATCTTAAAGATGTGAATAAGAATATTCTTTTGCCAACAAAGGGTATAATAAAGCAATCAATTGATACACAACCTAGTTTCTTTTATGTTTTTTTACTCTAGGGGTGGAGGCGGGAGGAAGTCTGGTGTAAACATGGCTAAAACTCCCTCCATGGAGTTCCAAAAAAACTTTTCAACACTAAAGCTTTTTTCTAGCATTTTGTAATGTATTCGAGCATTTAAATATTAAGAAAATTAGAAATGCAATACTGTCGGGGATTATCGTAAGTCAAATGCATTAAATCAGAAATGGCACAATTTTGCATAGTAGAGGGATATAAGAAAAGGCTCCCACCCCGAGTCGATGCAGTGTCAACCTTTACCCGCTTAATTTAAGCTTGACCAAGACCGTGCTAATGAGGCACCGAGGATATTACCATTCTATAAAATGTTTTTGCTTTGTATGAAGATAAATAAAACTGCGTCAAAGCTGCAAATGAGCAAACCCATAAAAAAAACATAACAAGCGTATAAGAGACATTAGAGGCTGAATACTCTTTGACAAAAACCGTACAGCTACCTGCTAAGGGTGAATCCAATTTACATGGCCTGATATTGAGAATCCTATTTTCGCACTCGGATAAGAAGATAAGATATTGAGAGGGGGTGAGGGGAAACTGTCATAATGCATAAGGGAGGGGGGCGACTTGTTATTCTGCAGGAGGGGAAGACAACAATAGCTTGGAGAGGATGCCAACCATAAGCCCAATGAACCCAACAAGAAGAGTGAACTTTAAGGAGAATCCTACACCATTTTTCCTATTTCTTCTCTTCAGCACATCCTGGGGACACAAGATTATTAGAAACATGAAAAGGTTTTTTTGGTTGCTATATCAGTTAATTTATGAAGCATGTATGGAAATTCTCTTGGATGACTGGTTTAGCTAATTCACTAAAGATAGGAGTGGACTCGGTACTAGTTCCAGAACCAGACCTGGCAGGTAAGGAACCAGGCCTTGACTATAATTATGGTTCTTCAACGGAACCAGTTTGCACTGTTTCCATTTCCACCAAAATAGGCCTGGACCGGACCGGACCCTTTTTCAAGGCTTAAAATTGGGACGGAACCGGAACCGGAACCAGGAAAACTTTTTGCGGTTCGGGTTTATTGGTAGCCATATGTGTGAGTTCTGAGTTTACCCTCATCATTAGCAATGTTGTTTCATCTATTCTTGTTTTCACTTTTTTGAAAAAAAGACAAGAAAATGCTTTTGGCAGTCATGATTCTCTTTTCATTTTATGGAAGAAAAAAAACAGGACCACAAATATTTGTGGAAAGTGAATTTCCAGTTTTTATTGTGATCAGAAACCTTACTCACACTACTTATAAAGTAATAAAACTTTAATAAGAATCATACATGGTCATTTTAGAAATAGTTATAGATACAAACAGATTTGTCTTATTTTAGAAATTGGAAAACCTAAGAAAAGAATACAAAAATAAAATTTTGATACCACATAAAAATAGTAAAATACCACTCCAAGCCTAAACTTCAGAACTTGCTTCACATGCTCACACTAGTATAAAATATACTTCCTTAGTCTCTAAAAACTTTGTCTATCTTTCATTTTTTGGTTGTCCCAAAAACTGTCACTTTCCCTTTTAGTCAATGAATTTGTGGTTCTTATTATTTCTCTCCTCTACACAAACCTTAAACACACAGTTCACAATTTTTACTTTTTTATTTCCTGTGCCTGTCAAACTTGGCAAAGTTTTGAATGATGGAGGGAGTATTAGGTTTTGGAAGGGCTTGTTCTAGTAAATGTATGTATATAGCCTATATGGGTCAGTTTAGTTGAGAATGATTGTTTCCATGAAAAATGAGAAGATTAAATGAGAAAGCGGTTCAGCTCACCTGGTCGCCGACTCACTCTTCTTTATGGAAGGTCCCGGGTTCAATACTCCATGGAGGGAGTTTGAACCCAGTTTACCCCAAGCCCCCTAGCCCCTCTCATCTCTCTCATTACTCATTAGATCACATTCTAAATTCATCCAAAATACACACATGCTCCTCCGTAAGTTATTGTGTAACAAATTCCTTTTTGGGAAGTATTTTATTGTTTGTTACATTTCCATTAAGTAGTACCTTGCTTCTTTATCTCATACTTTTTGGGAGTAAGGCTTGGATGTTGTTTTATTCTTTCATCTTCTCTTCAATACTTTTTCATCTATTATCTCATACTTTTTACAATTTTTCCATACTACTCAATATCCCTATTGTTTTTTCTTAATCTCCCTCAAAAACCTATAGTTGCAACTAAAATAATACAGCGTATGTATGTATGTATATATACACAAACACATATACACATGTATATATGTGTATATTGTATACTCCCTCCGTCCCAATTTGATGTTCATGTTGCGATTTACGATGCTTGACCGACGATAAAGCAAACGAGTCTCTGTCCGCACTCAAATTATTTGTCGCAAATAAAATTTACATAATCAGAAACTACATTAAAACCGCTACAAAGCCTGCAAAAAATAATTCAAATTTCATAAAATTTTGATATAAAAATAAAAGATTAAGAGTGGTTTAAGTTGACCAAGTGAATAGGAACTGATAGCATCAAATTGGGACGGAGGTAGTATATGTGTGTAAACAAACACACACATACACATACATATATTATATATGTACAGGGTTGAAATGAGAAGACCTAGTTGTATTTAAAATAAGATTTCAACTCGTATTTAAAATAATATACAGATCATAAGCACAGGATGACGATATACTTTATTACATCAAATTGTAGCCCGATGATTTATTAAATGCTCATTAATGATTCTCATTTTTCATGGGAAGAACATTTTTATTTAAGCCAAAGTGTGTGTGTACATATCATTGTTAAAATAGTGAATGATAAATATATAAGATTGTCTCACAATCCAATCCTCTTTAATATGTTCTTAGAAACATTCTAAATATTTCCGAACCCTTACACCCAAACAAGCTGTAAAAAACCCACAAACAAGAGAAGAAAAGGGGGTTACTAACCAGTTCTTGTTGTAGTTGTTGTGTTTCCAGTACAGCTGCATTTATTTCCTCTCTAATGCGCTCTAACGTCAGACTCTACATCATTCATTCAAAGAAATGAAGAATTTCAGTTATTAGTCACTCACATGTTATAAGAGAATCAATTTAGTTTTATGTATGTTCTCTCAACTACTGAGGTCATTCACCTTGTTAGACTAGGCAACTTGTGGAGAAGTATACAAACACAAACAAGGATCTGCATTTGGTGTTCATTGACTTAGGTGTTGTTCTGTTTGTCTTATTCTTATTTTATTCAAATCAGATCAAAATGATTTGAAATAAATAAGAAACATTCGAATCAAATCAGAAACATTCAAATCAGATTATATAATTTCAGACATGGTTTATTACTTTTAATAATAATAATAGTAATAATAGTATTACCAATACTATTATTATTATTATTATTTCTATTTTTATTATTGTTGTTGTTGTTATTAATATTAATATCAATATTTTTATTACAATTAATATTTCGTTATTGTTATTGACTTATTGTTATTATTATCATTAATATTGGTATGTTACTATTATTATATAAATGTAGGTTGTTGGTATTCAAGATTTAATAGTAATAGTAATACTACGTAGTATAATGATATTGATAACGATTATATTAAATAAAATTGTAATTAAAATCTAAAGATAATGGTAACAATAATATAATTAGATAATAATTATTGTTACAATTATAATTATAATTATAGCTATAATCATAATTATAATTATAGTTTCAATTGATGTTATAATTATAATTTGAGTTACAATTATAAATATAATTATATTTATAATTACATATATATTTATAACTATAGCTACAATAATAATAATAATTAATATAATAATTATTATTAATTATTATTATTAAATAATAACTATTTAATTGTTTAATAATAATAAAGCTCAATCAGATAAAAAATATTCAAATCAGATCAAAAAATTAAGATCAGATTAGAAAGATTCAGACCAGATCAGTTCAAAAAGATTCATATCAAATCAGAAACAATCAGATAAGACCATTGTTCTAAAAACGGCCCAGTCATACCGATTAATCGGCCTTGTCAGCCCTAACTATAGACGACTAATTGGCCTAGTCAGCCAAAAAATCGGTCTAGTCGGTCGCCTAAGCGCCCCTCAACCGCTCGACTAGCGCCTAACGAGTTTAGAACAATGGATCAGACCAGATCAAATAATTTTGGATCAAAAAATTTATATGAGAATGATTCAGACGAACAGAACAGCTTCTTAGAAAATGAAAATGATAGGGTACCTTGAGATGTGATTTGGTAGGCCTTAACTACAAAAGGCATATCATGTAAGTATATCAGCATCATAGATATGTATGAGGATTGTACTACTAGTGTCCATACTAGTGTAAGGACAACATAGCTCCCTATTCCTATTATTATCGGAGTTCACCAAGGATCGACTCTGAGTCATTTTTTATTTGTTATAGTCATGAATAACTTACGAAATCAATTCAAGCTGATCTATCGTGGTGCATGATGTTTGCGGACGATATTATATTGATTGATGAGACGCAATCGGGTGTTAAAACAAAGTTGGAAGTATGGCGACAAACATTGGAGAACAAGGGTTTCAGACTGAGTCAAAGCAAGACCGAAAGTTTGGTGGAGGTAGAAGCATTGGCAACAGTGGAATTACTCTAAATGGTAAGGAGTACATGGGTAAGGTTGTGTACATCCGACCCCCCATTACCTTACCGTAGGTGGGAGCCTTTGGAGCAATGATGTAATGTTATTGTTGTTGTTGGTAAGGAGTTACCTATGTTTCGTTACTTGGGATCCATAATTCAAAAGGACGGCGAATTAGATGGAGATGTATCCCATAGAATGAGTTTAATGCACCAAACCCCCTAATGATATATAACTTCAGCGCATTGGCCGATATGATTTAAAAAATGCATCAAAATACCATGTGTTATAATTATTTATGCGCAAACCCCCCTCCAAAAACAAATTTACAATTTTGAAATCACTTTTCTTAATAATATGATTGCATATGCAAGTAATTTCGTCATGATTTCCAAATTATAAAAAATACTAATTATTTTTCATTTATTTGACAATTAAATTTGTTCATAGAAGGAGTTTTGGGCGGCGCATTTATATTTCACGAGGGAGTTTGGTGCATTAATCCTCCCATGAAATCAGAGTAAGGTGGATAAATGGAAGAGTGTCATGATTTCTAAGTGATCAAGGGATGCCGACAACACTGAAGGGTAAATTTTATCGGACATAATTAGTCTTGCATGACATAGGATGTTTTTACTTGGATTGTTTTCAGTCCCAGACCAGATCAGACCAAACCAGACTTAAACAGACCAGACCAGATTAGTTCAAACCAGACCAGACATCCATAGTTATAAAATACACAGAGACCTACCAGACCAGACTTAAACAGACCATATTTCAGTCCAAGTAAAAACATCCATAGTGTTGGATGTGTGGACATACTAGAAAAGACCGCTTGAGGAATGAGACAATCAAACAAAAAGTGAGAGTAGCACCTATCGAAGATAAGATGCGAGAGTCTCGATTGCGGTGGTTTGGTCATGTGCATAGAACATACTTGGCACGGCGCCAGCGGACAGCCAGCGGGCGCCCAGACGCCTAGGCGACAACTAGGCGGCAAGTCGCTTCATATGTAATATTACTATAATATACATATAATATGAAATAATATATTATAAATTAAATAAAAAATTGAAAATTAAAAATATGAAACAAAGTAAAAGGATAAACTAGATGAGAAAATATCTGACAATTTAATTATTCAAAGGGATGGAAATAATGCAAGTGTAGCAGACACTCATTCAAAGGGATGGAAAGAAATACGGAGTATTAGATGGACTCCAGCTGTAAATAAAAAAGTGTACATAAAAAAGTGTACAGTAAGAAACCCTTACTCTATATGCAATGGGCTAAAGATTAAAAGATAAGTCCAGCCAAACAAAGTGAAATAAAGCAAGTGGAATAAAGCAAAAGACGGTGATGACCGTAAAAAACGGGAAAGAGAGAGAAGATGGAGCCTGACCCGCGGCGTCGACCAGCAGCGGTGATAAGAGGTGGTGACCTGCGACGCCGACCTGGCCGACGTTGAAGGGCCTAGGGTTCTGGCCGACGGGTCTGTTTCTGACTGCGCCACTGCGGTTCGACTTGCAAATAAGACGAGGACTTCGCGCCAACATCGCGCCTAGACGATGACTGGCCGACGCCATACACACTTCTCTTCTGGCGAGGCGAGTGAAGCCGGCGAGCAATCTCTTGCGCTAGGACGCTTAGGCGACGACGTGACAAGCATGACGTAGAAGACCGAGTGATACACCTGTTAGACGAGTTGAGATGTGTGGAGAAGAGGCGGAGAGGAAAGGGAGGGGAAGACCCAAACAAACGTGGATTAATGGAGTCAGGAGTGATCTTCTTCTTGGGTTGGATGAGGGTATGACTTTGGAAAGAGCAAAGTGGAGGGCGGGTATTCATGTGGCGGGTTGATCTCTTATCATCTTTTTTCCCTTTACCATTTTTTCCTATCTTATTTTTTTCCCTTACCTTTATATATATAGTGAAGAGTTCAAATAAAAAGTGGTGCTCCCGTGCAAAGTGCGAACAATTGCACTTTTCGCTCAATGTGATGCAAAATTTCATGTTTTTTGTTGCACTTTTTCGCGATGACAAAATTTTTTGGTTTATTTACGAAATTGTCATTGCATTTTTTTATATCAAATCTAGTGCATTGTTGGCTTATTTTGAGCCATTAGATCAGGGACTAAATGCACAAGATTTATTCTCACACTTTGCCTGAGAAAACTTCTTTGTATTTGAACTCTCCTTATATATAAGGAGCGGATCAAGTGAGGAGTCTTCTAAAGCTAAAAAATGTGAAGTACTTTAAATGTTGTAAAAGTTATATATTTGATTTTGTAAGTTACTTTTAACGAGTTAAAAGTTAATTACAAAAAAGCGACTTGAATGCATTTATGACTTGCTAAAAATAAAAAACATAGAATATCTTGTGTTATATATTGTGTTCATGATAGCCTCATACTTGTCATATATTTACCGACTACATGAAGTTGTACTTTTGATAAAAGTTACATATTTGGCTTTATAAGTTAAGCTTAACAAATTAATAGTTAAAGGACAAAAATGTCTTTGTAAATAAATAAATGGGAAATGGAAACTAATAATCCCACCTTTTAGCGGTCTTCTTAAGATAGACTCACCTAATAGTAATTCAGGAATAATCTCACCTTTGCACCACATCTTTCAATCGGTCCCTGACCGGTTGATGACCTGTTAATCCAGGTTATTTTCTTTTCTTTGCAAATTATTCAACCATAAATCTCACCTTCTACAAATCTTCTCAAAATGGTCCCACATATTATTTTTTCTTTTTTCTTCCTAAGAGTTTTCTCTCTTTTTCCTTCATCATCACAATGCTTTTATTCCTTTTTCATCTTTTTTATTTTCATTTATTTACCTTGTGTATGTGTTCCTTTATCCATTTATCATAAGAGTTTTCTTAAAGATTTTTTTTTTCGATAGTTTTTCCGTTTTTTCTTCTCCTCCATTTTTATTTTCTTTCCTTTTTATGTATTCATATTCGTTGTGGTCTCTTTTTATAATTTGTTTCCCGACTACTTGTTTATATTTTTCTTTGAATTTTTCAGAAAAGAGAAAATTATATTAGTGCGGAATCAAGGTAAGAAAAGGGAAAATGAAATACATAAGTGGAAGTAAAAAGAAAGTAAAGTAAAAAATTAATAAGGTGAGAAAAAAATCTTTTATAAGAAGGGAACTAATTTGAAAAAAATACATAAAATGGAAATGAAATAATAAACGGGAAGAAGAAAAAGGAAGGAAAAATGGAATACATAAAGGGGGTTTTCCTTAAATATTACCAATAAAGACATGGACAAAATTATTACTTAATAAGTACTCCGTATTAGTGATTAAAATTATGTTTAAATGTAAATCGTATTAATTACATATAAGTTACTACGATGTAAACTTTGAATACAATTATAGTCACTAATAGTTACTAAGTAATATTATTGTGCATCACATTTTAAAGATTAATATTAATGGAATTTTTTCATACATAAACATGGAAAACAAATAAGAATAAGAAGACGGAAAGTGGAAATAAAAGAGTCAAGATGATAAAAATAAAAAGAGAAAACTTTTAAGGAGTAAAAAGAAAAATGATACGTGGGACCGTTTGGAGAAGATTTGTGAAAGGAGAAATTTATGGTTTAATGTTTAGCAAAGAAAAGAAAATAACATGATATGGCAGGTCATCAACAACTCAGGGACCAATGAAAGAAGATGGGGTTAATTGTATGCGCTTAAAAATGGCTCATTTAACTGTTTGCACTTCTTTATTACTCCCTCCGTCCCGCTAAGATTGTCCCGTTTTACCTTTTCGCCACATCCCACTAAGATTGTCTCCTACCAAATTTGGTAAAGTTTGTGTGACTCTTAATCATTCTTACTTTATTCTTACTTTATCAATTCAATATCAACCACATAAACCACTTTTTATTATTTTGTGTGTCACTCTTTCATGTCCTATTGTTAGTGGTACGGATGGAGTATGAAGCAGTGGTCAGTCCATGCAATTTTGGACGCGATTTTCACTATGGATCATCCAAAAACAATCTCTTTGTGCGTTAGTACAAGAATAAGACTGCGTACATCCGACCCCCCCTTACCCCACCATAGGTGGAAGCCTTTGCGGCACTGGGGTAATGATGATGATGATGATGAATCAAAAGAAAATGTACTTAAGTAGAACTTACGGAGTTTGATGTATCAGAGATTTGTTTGAATACCCCGTCTTCTGAATTTCCTGGAGTGGAATGAGGAGAAATGTATACCACCCTAAGCTTGCACTCCTCTATTATTCTCCCACTGTCCTTATTAAACTGTTTCAAGAAGTCTCATTGTTTTCAGCTAAACACATTTTTAAAATGAAAAAAACTATTTGGTACATATGAAATCATCTCATCATGAAATCTGATCCCCCAATATGAGATTCTTACAGTATCTGGTGGAAGGTCATCAATATAACTATCCACAATGGTGCTCTGTAAAAGAAATTTATCCTTGCATTGCATATCAAGAGGATATTCTCGTTGAGCTTGAAGAGTCACTACAGATACCATTAACTTAATATTAGCACATATAAAGTCACTGTTATGTGTCAACCAAATGTGAAGATAATTATGCAGTATTTGATTACAATCATTAAAATTTAAATAGCAGATGCACAAGTAAATCAGCGTATGAGCGTGTGAGGTATGAGCTCCAAAGGAGGCATTTTGTCTACATTTTGAAGTTCAGTGTTAGATTTGTCTTCTGGCATAACTTATTCCAGTTCGAATTAGATGGTTTAATCTAAAAGATCATATATCTGCGTATGAATCTGTTAAAAAAGTTAAGAAAAAATACAAGCAAGCAAACTCAAGAAGAGCACCTCTGATGACACATGAGCCCCCTGGCAATATAACACCTGTATTTGGTCGTACAAAATACTTCTTTGGGGAAGTGGTTTTTACCTGGAATAACCATGATGAAGTCGGGTGAAAAAAAATAGAATTTGGTAGATTTCGTGTAATTGTTGGTTGCTAGTTTTCATGTTGTCTTTACCTTGAAAGCAACATGTTGATCTCTAGCATTTGAAACTTTTAGATCACAGTAACTCTGTTTGTCGAGTTCAACTGAAAACAGGCACCAACATAGCTATAAGTAACATCAGAGTTCAATGTTAAACTAATAAAACTACAGATCCAACAATAAGTAGATAAAAAGGCCCAAATGTGAATAAAAACATTTTCAAAAAATTACAACAACGTCTTAATTGTGAATCTTACTTACGTTGGAAAAAAACAAATCATACAAATGTTACTTGTCCATAGTGCACATTAAGAATCATATGTTATTATATTATTTATTTATTTATTTATTCTAAAAGAAAGAAAGAAAGAACAATGAGAAAGGGGAACAAATCGTTGCATTTCGTCAATGTTTACCCACATTACAAGTACCAATAAAATAAAAGCATCATTCCCGCCCCAAATGCAATTGAAATCCAACCAGTAATCTCCATTTGTGCATGTCAAACGCGCAATGTGGATTCGAGCGAAATGAAAGGATGCAGACAAAGCAAAGCCAGACAGGAATGGAAAAAGAGAAGAGAAGGAATTACATTGGAACTTGAGCTCTTCAGGACTAACAGAAATCAACTGGTTATCAGCGGCGGTCATTGTACACAGGCGGGCAGAAACAGAACCGATCAGTCGGGATCAAACCTTTTTAAAACAAACCCTAGGTTAACCAAATGCAACATTCGCTTAACGACCCAGACAGGGAGAGCGAGTGGTGTGCGTTTGGGGGAGGAAAGCGCACGGAGAAAGGGGGAGAAATAGAGGATAAGAGAGAATAACGGGAGACTTACATGGAAAAGCAGAGCAGATTTCGGAGGTCAGAGGTTCGCCTTCGAAGATCGCCCTTTTTCCTGGTTGAGAAGGATAGGCGAGAGATTCAGATGGGAAGGAAGTGGGGAAGGTGGCTTTCATCAATGACAATAAAGGGATAGTGGTGGTGGGATTCTGTGGTTTGACACATGGCGCCACACCTTGTAAATTTCTGCTTCCAGTAAAGGTCCCTGAAATTAAGGGGATTGATTAATTAATGAAGAGGATGGATGATAAGAGAGAGTTTGACTTTCCTTTCCTTCTAAGAGTGATTTTCTTAAAGTATCCACAATGATGATACCAATTTTAGGGTTTTTTATGCTTTGTTATTGTCATGTCATTTTCACATAAGAAAATCTCAAATAATCTTCAAATTAATTAATTTTTCTATGTGACATAACACTCAATTTCAAAATTTCTTACTTAAAATGCACTCACAACTCACATGGACACACTATTAAAGTGTGTACTATATTACTATTATTAATCTATTACTTAAAGAAGTGTACTATATTACACCTCACATGGCAACAAATGTAATTGGGTTTTGAATTTTAATGCATGTGCAACGTGTTATTAATATTTTAAAGTGAGTTGAGTTTGCAAGTTGAATTTTAACGTAGCATCTTCTTTTATTATGAAAAGCAGCGCTGAGTTGAGTTAAGTTTAACGTTGAATGAGCGGATGCACTTGAATTTTTAATGAAAAGCAGTGTTGGGTTTTAACGTTTGGTATCTTAAATACCTAGAAAGTTGGGAGAGAAGTCTAAAAGTTGGAAATAATCTTCAAATAATTCAGATTTAGAATTTGATATCAGATTATTTGATCAAATAATCTCAACATCTCAACCATAATCTCAAAAAATATGACCCACATCATCAAAATAATCTCCAAATAATCCCATGGATGGGGATGCCCTTAATATCATGTTGGAATTAATCCAACACAAAATCTCTACAATCTAATAAGCTTGAATGAATGTTAGGGTATTGTGGATATAGAAATTTTGTTGGTGGTATTCCAAGCTTAGTTGACATGTACATGGTGTTTAGATGCTTAAACTTTCACCTTCAATTGGCTTTTATCTCCCAACACTCCGTTTGTTTTCTGTTAATGTCCGTAAATATTCAAGGCCCAGCCCCGTTTCGGTCCCTGGCTTCCTCTTTAGCTGAACACGCCCATCTGTTCGATCGAATCATACTGGATCTTGCTTCGCCGACACACGCTCAGCCTCTCGGTCCTTTCGTCTTCTTCGCAGTTTGTCTGTAAGTTTTTTTTTTTTAATTTCTTCAATTGATCATAACTCTGACATTTATTAACCTGTTTAATTTCAACACATCGATCCTTGGCAGACGATTTTTCCCCTCACCTTAAATCCATGTTCTTCCCTTGGCAGACGATTTTTCCTGCAGGGCCGCAACGTCACACTTCTTCTCCAGGTGCGTCTTCTTCCTTGTTTGTTCTTGTTTTTCCCTTTGTTTACACAGGTTGCACAAACACACTGATATAAGTTTTTTTAACGCTCTTTCAATTGACATTTAAGTTCGATTCATATATCTGCGGTTTTGCTGAAATGATTAGAAAAGATTGGAATCTGGGTATTTGCTAAAATCGCTGGAAAGCTTTGGGTGTGGGAAACTTAGCTTTACGATCACTGGCTGCTAGATGTTTTACTTGGAGCACATTTTGTAATGTTCAAATTTTTGGTATATTTGAAAATTTCAAATTAGTCCATCATAGTAAGATGTCGGCTGGGGCATAAAATGCATGAAAAGTGACTTCTTAATGTGAGATTGTGGACTTCTCGCTTTCTAGGCACTTGTGACCCTACCAATCACTTATCCTGCAAAAAATCAACTGGAGCTGTCCAAAACAATGGCCAAATGAGTGATCAGAAGTGGCAAGAATTAATAGTTTTGCACCAAAAGCGAAAAGAAAGTCTAAGGATCACAAGTGACATAACCTAACAAGAGCGGGACCAAAATACTTTCTCACTACAGTGTTTAAAAAACAAATAAAATGGTGATTGAAATGTTATATGATCAGTTAATATGTTGTTCCTTCAATTTTTATAAAATCTCAATTGCATATGAAGGATTGACTTTGCCCTCCAAAACCCTCCATCCAAACTGAACTTAGATGAAGCTTTAATTTTCCTTGCATAACATATTGTAAGCCTCAACCTGCAGCAGAGAAGTACTCATGGACCAAAAATTTGTACTTTGAAGCGTATAGATTATCTTTCAAAGTACTCCCATGAATGATTAGTGTCTCTGCAACCTAACTGTTATCTCACCAGTCTGTTTGAATAATTTCATTCCGTGGCCTTGTAAGAGAAGCAGCTCTTAGCCTCGGAATAATGTCATCCTGCACCCAATGTATTGTATTTCAAAAGTGCTTAAGAATATAGCCATATAGGTTTAACAAATTTTATTGGAATAAGAACAGCTAAAACCAAAATTGCCACCACTCATACTGACCTGCATAACCACGGTTACAATTTATATTACACACGCTCTTGCTTGCCTGCTTGGGGCGAAAAATTAGTTATCATTTTTAAGCTCCAAACCTAATCAAAACATACGCTTCATTAGGTATTTAATTGTTATATTACTTGTTTTTTATTTTGAAAATTCACATATAACTAAATTCTTATTGATAGTATCCTGAATTTGAGGGTAATTCCTTTGAATTTCACATGTTTGATGAAACACCCAACTGAAATTTTGTTTACTACGGCGTATTATGTTATGCATTACCTTCTTTAAATCTTTTTTTCACTACTTTTGTGCCTTACAACTTATTTCAGGAATTCTTTCTTAGTTGCTTTTGAATTTGACTTTACTCGAGGTCTGCTACTCTCTTAACATGTTCAAAGTTAACATAAGTGAATAGGCTAAAAGGGTTGTAAACCATAAGTTTGAGTTAATAAATTTCATTTTAGTAATTCATTTCCTTTATAAAGCTATTCTGTTTCATATTTGATAGCGGAACTCCCCATCTCTCCCATGTGGGTGGATCCAGACATGATGCTTGTACTCATAAATAGCTTTCCATACCAACATATGAGCTGCCAATTTTTGGTTAATATCTCGCCCTTGTACTAAATTACTCTGTATTTGTTGCTATCTCACCACCCCTTGAATACAAGTACTGCATTTGCTTTGCCGGCTATCTCACCCTCCTCGAATTAAAAGCAGAATATCGTTTTTGTCACCCTAATGTTCCCACTCATTGATTATTATATATCATTTCTCAAAACTATTCCAATACACTTTTGAAAAGGTTCAGTTGTTGTATTGAGAAGGTTTTGGTTGTTGTGAAAGTATAAAAGGAGAAACACAAAGCTGCCCTTGTTGAGGCTTTAACACATATACAGAGTATTATTCAAAGTGCTATTGCATTAACCTACTTGTGGTTTTCCTTCTACACTTACGATAATTGACTGCTTATATTTTTACTTGGCCAATTGTTTTTTGGCACACTAATTTGTCAAGGCTGTCATTTAATCCATATCTGCAGTAGAAAATTTGGCTAATGTTAATGAAAGTAAATACAATAATGAAATAAATAGGTTTTATTAATAGAATAAAGAGAAATAATTTGAAATCGGCTAAATGATCTTCTTAACTAATTTTAGCCAAAATGAGAAATAGCTCCAGCCATGGCATACATTTCACATCATTACCTAATTCAATACTCCAGTGAAATAAATTATAAATTAGTGAATGCTTTAAAATAAATTTGGAGATGAGGTTGATAACGCCAACAGTGTTGCTATTGAACAATCACTAATGATCTGCTCTCAAAAGAAACATTAATAGTGTTGTTGAGGTTTATTCCTTCAACCCGTGGACCCAACACGTAAGCCCAAAGGTTTCGAATGGAGTGGATGTATGGTTATCTAGCCCAACAACTATTAGATGAATCAGGAAACAAGAGTAATAGCAGGCAATGTAAATAGGTATTATTAACCTCGTAATAACTCCCCTAAGTACAATCTACTTGCTAACAAAGGCACGTCGGCCGTTCGTCTTACAAGGCAGTTAGAAATGCTGCGAGTAAGAGTGCTGAAGCTAGTATGCTAAGAATAGAAAGTTGCCAACCCTTTACAACGAAATAAATGCTTCTATTTATACCCGCCAATGGGCAGGTGGCTGTACTGACGTGGCAGCCTGTGGACCGCTGGTATCCCAACTACCAAATCTTTAGCATTAAATGCACTTCCCGCCAGAATCTAGGTTTCCCGCCGGAATAGTGGGGACGTTCGTCCATCCGGGAAGTGAGTTGGATTCCTCCAAGTGACCCTTGAGGGATATTGGCTGTTCGTCTCCTGGCCTTGATGGATTCTCATCATGTGGGCTGGGTCTCCTCCGATGACTATGGGCTTGCTCAGGAGACGTTCGTCGTCACCCCTGATGGCCCGTGGCTCCGCTCCTTGTCCCTGCTTAGACGTTCGTCGAGATGAGCCGCTGGGCCTGAGTCCTCCAACACCAGACGTTCGTCCATGCTTAATAGTACATGGGCCTGTGGGCTGGCCTAATTTCTAGCTGGACGGTCGTCTGGCAAAATGGGTTAGTGGGCCGGACCTCGGCTTGGGCCCTTAACCCAACACAAGTCCCCCACTTCTGATGTTCTGAGCATGCGCAGGACATAAGGAAGTATGAACCTCCCCGAAGTAGACGTCCGTATCTTGGCACTTGTGTTCATTGCATCTTGGCGGAACCGTACGCTCGTGGCCATGGTGCTTGACAGCTGTTGACGGTTCAGGAAACGAGGTGACGGCTGGTGTTGCGGCGGCGCATTTTCCCGAGGAAGTGTCATCATTACGTTCCCATCCCACGCACAGCGCGTGGGCCGGAATACGCTCCTTGCCACGTGTCCGCCCCTCGTTGGCTTCTCCATCGGCGTTTCCCTTATAAATGCTGGGTTTGCCCTCTGAATTAGGGTTCCCAATTTCTGCTTTCTTGCTCTCAATTTTCCGCAGCTCTTCAAGTTTCCCGAATTCGGCCAACCATACCTTTGTAAGGTAATTTCCCCCCTCTGCTTCTTTCCTTTACTCTGATTTCTAGCCGAAATGACTTCGATGGAGATTTCCTCAAGTTCTGATTCCAGTTCATCGGGTTCCTCCTCGGGCTCCTCTTCTGACAATGCGAATGCACGCTCCCTGGGAAAAACTAGCGTCTCCGGAACCTCGGGTTCGGCCACGACCGTGGGGACCATCCGGGCTGATGGCGAGCCGGATGACGTGTCCCAAGATAGCGGGAGCGACGCCGGGGGCGGGGGCGCTGACGGGGCAGTAGATGTTATTGACGCAGTCCCCCTGAATGAGCGTCCTGCTGACTATGATTCCGGAGAGGAAGCCGAATCCGGTTCTGATGTGGAGGTGTATGATCTGGGCATCCCCACGGATAGGGAGCGCCACATCTGCCCGATCAGGAGTGCACTTGACCATGACCAAGTCCTCTCCCGCGTGGCCCTCAATAAAATCCGTACCTTCCTCCCCCCACCGTTCGTCTGGAGTGTGAGAGGTGCTGAGCATGTGATGAGGAGACGTCCGGGGATGATCATGCTTCACCTGGACTCCGTTGAAGCCGGGCTGCGGTTTCCACTGCACGCGTTCTATGTGGAGTTCTTCCACTGCTTCCAGGTGGCCCCGGCGCAATTCATGCCAAATTCTTACAGATTCATATCGGCATTCTTGGTGCGCTGCAAACTTGCGGGGGTCGATGCCACCCTGGAGCTCTTCCATTATTTCTACCGCGTCACTCCTCAGAACGCCGACGGGTATCTGAGTGTGGCCGCACGTCCTGGGAGGCGGCTGTTCAAGAACTACCCTTCGTCCATCCACGACTGGAAGAACCGTTTTTTCTTCCTTCGATACGACGGGCCTCCTCTCCCTCTCCGGTGGAATGGGTACCCTCCAAAGATTGAGTCACCGGAGCCGTCCGACGATCTGCTTCTGGATGCGGAGAAGGTGTTGGAGGGTGGCGTCCGTCCTATAGCCGGATTTCTGACCTTCGAGGCACTCTCTGGGGCAGGCATAGGTACCGTCCGTGTCCCTGGGCTTTTTCTACCCTTCGACGCTCGTCTCGGGGCACCGGGCGGTCCTGTCCTTCGAGGTGAGTGTCTTATTCTATTCCCCGCTCGTCTTCTAATCCTTTGTTATTTTTTGCAGGTCCTCCGCCAGACAGAGATCAAATGAATCACGCCGAGTGCCTGAAGACCAGGAAGGCCAAAGCGGCCGCTGCTAAAGCTGCGATGGAGAAGGCCAAGAATGCCCCCGCCTCGGCGTCCAACTCCTCGGTTTCTGATGCTGCCCGGCGAACCGCCGAGGGTGAGCAGCATCTGATTGCCACTATGCTGGCCCAGGGTTCCGGGGCCCCTGCTCTTGAAGCCGCCCCTCCACCGCCGGTCGTCCCGTTGAAGGCGGCTCCTCAAAAGGGGACGGAGAAGGTCCCCGAAAAGAAACAAAAGAGGGGCCGCGAGGCTGTCTCCACCGGGCCCCTGCTTGAAGACGCCGGCTCCTTGCCGTTGAGCCGCCCGGCGGAAGAGCTTTGGAGGGAAATGGCCCTCAAGGCTGGCCGAGAGCTGCCCAGCCGTTCGTCTTCGGAGGCGACAAGTGCTGCCCTGGCAGCCGCTCTTCAGGTAATTCCCTCTTGCTAGATCTGAGTATATATATTTTTTCCTTGACGTTCATCCCCTGATCCTTATTTTTCCTTCTGTCATCCAGTCTGGGCTTCTAGTCCTTCAGGCTGAAGCTGCCAGGGAGGCCGATCTGAAGGAGGCCAAAGCTAAAGCTGATGCGGCCATCGCTGCGGCTCGAGAGGCCGCTCGCCGAGCTGAAGCAGAGGCTACGGCTAAGGGGAAGGAGATCGCCGCCCTGCGGGCAGAATCCCGCCAGCAGCTAGTCAGCCTTGGGAAAGCTGGCTTCAAGCTTGTCCCGGTGCACCCTGTCGCGAAGGATGCGAGTCCGGAGTGGCTGGTTGATACCTCCGGCTACCGGAACACTGGGGAGTTCATGGACTCTGCCAAAGATTATTGTGCCGGAGTCTTCGCCGACTTGTTTGCCGCGGCTCTGGAGAAGATACCGCCCCGCCAGCGTCTGGCCCGCGGCGTCCGGCTGCTTGAGGGTTCTCCTCTGTCCCGCAAGTTCCTGTACGAGGTCGGTGACAGCACCTTCTCAGCCGGGTATAACGAAGGGGTTAAGGCCACCCTCCCCATCTTTTCGAGGCTGCAAGGGGCCGACTTCGAGCTGGCAGCGAATACAGACGACGATCTGCTGCTCCAGGCTCTAGGGAAACTGGCGAGGGACCAGCGGCGGGAGGAAGCCAAGGCTAGAGGGGAAATTCCGGAACCCCCGTCCCCCGAGCCCGAGGAAGAAGAGGAGGAGCTGAACCAGGGTGGCAGCCGACCGGAATCACCTTTCTTTGTATAATGTAATTTGTATTTTTCCATTCTAACTTTTGTAATGTCCGGCCGTCAGAGCCGAAGAATACAGACGCCCTTTTGCCCATAGTTGTCCCATGTTCATGATTTCTACTTGTTATTTTCCTTCCCTTTGTCCTCCGTTGTATGGAACTCCCTCCGGCGGTCAGAATTCGAGAGGACGTTCGTATCCGTCCTCTACTTGCTTCCAGGCAAAAGCGTCCCGAAGTCAATCCTCCGTTCGTATTCAACGCGTTCCGTCAATGGAGCGACGTTCGTCGGCGGTTTATGGTGCATGCTCGAAGTGTAAGCATAGGAACGTATTCCTCAGCACCAGCACTTGATAACGATGTCCGCCCGTTGTCGCGTGATATGAACATTCAAACCACGCACGGGACGTTCGTCTGTTCTGCGTGCTCATCTGACACGAAGTGTGGAAAGGCGACGTTCATCCTTTGTGCACAATCAATGGACGTGACTTTCACTTCATCCTTTTGTGCCCATCGTTTGTAGTATAAGGAATCCCTTCGGCACCTCGACACATCTTCACCGCCTACGCGGTCTCTGGTCAGTGTGAAGACGTTCGTCGGTAATTGCCTTGCCAGCACACGATTCACGTATGGACTTATGGGCGTACTTCTTTGAAACAGCGCTTGGTGACGACGTCCGTCCATGTTTGCGTGACATGAGAAACCAGTGTACTGGAAGAGGGACGTCGCCAGCTGATGTGTGTGCCCTCGATCACCGCCGACGCTAGGGTCAGCTGGGGGGCTAAGGAAGCAAGGGAAATCAACTGTCTACAGATTCCTCCGAGCCGGTGAGCCCTCCTCAAGGGACGTTCGTGGCACGGACCCGGATGTCTTTGTGTGGGTTATGCGGCGACAAAATCGAGACGCCTTAAATGCCGTGGTAGGTACCGGTATCCAGGCGCCACGTGTCCTGCTTCGGTTGGGGCAATCCCGCGGTGTTGCCTATAAATACTCAGTACCCAAGTGATCCACTCACATTTCCCCTTACGCTGCACAATTGCCTTCTCTCTCTAGACTTCTCTTTTGATCGTATCGGAAACCTCGAATTCCAAGGTACCGTTCGTTGTCATGTCTTCCGAAAGTCGTTTTGATGATGGATGTTCTTCCGGTGATGACTTGGAGTATTATGAGCGGGGAATGCCACCCCGGCCTCCCCGTTACAGCCTCAACTTCTCATGCGTCCGGCGTCAAGTTCAACGCCTGACGAACGCTGACAAGCGATTGATCAGTCAATGGTTCTATCCACCAAGGGCCTACGACGATCGGCGTCTTCGGAATCCCATGCGCCATCTGCCCGGCTATGTGGTGGTCCACCTAGATTCGGTGATAGCCGGGCTGAACTTCCCTTTGCACAGCTTCCACTTGGAACTCTTCAGGGCCCTCGAGATTGTGCCTGCGCAGCTCGTCCCTGCCGCTTATCGGATAATCGCTGGTTTCATCATTAGATGCCACAGCGTCGGTGTGACCCCCACCGTGGACCTGCTGCATCACTTCTTCCGTCTGTCCACCTTCGGACGTACGGGGTATTTGGCCCTGATCGCCCGTCCGTCCATGGTTCTGTTCTCGAACAACGCTGGGAACCCGGACGGTTGGGAAGAGCGCTTCTTCCTGGCCGGAGTAGGCTCACCGATGCCATTCTCTGATCGGTGGAACGCCTACCCTGTGAAGACGATCCCGCCGCCCATGACGGACGAGGAGCTTGGATATGCCAAGCGCATAGCCGGACTTGGCATCCAGAACCTCCGGTTGCTGGTGGCCGAGCCCTTTAAAGCTCAGGCTGGATTAGGTGCGTCCGTTTGTACTTGTATTGTTTTAACCTCTCTTCGCTGTTATGGTTCTGAACGTCTTGGTTCCTTTTTGCGCAGGAGTTTTTCCCTCCACGTCCATCATGCGTCGAGACAATGCCGCCCCGTCTGTCGCCGGTCGTGGACACAAGGGGCATGACAAGCCCGGGAAGCCGCTCGTCCCCAAGGTTGAAACTCGGGTGACCAGGGCCCGGCCTGAGGATGATTTGGGAGCTGGTGCCTCCAAAAGACCGCGCGTCGACGGTACTGCTTCCAAGGCTATCATAGTGGCCGATGACTCTGATGGGGAGCCTGGAAGTCCCCTTAAGCGGAAGCCCGCCTCTCGGAACAAGTCCCGTCCTTCTCCCCCACGAAATTCTGACGTCCGTCGTCTCCGGGATGGTGATACCCAGACTGCCAAGGATTCTGACGATGCTCGTCCTCCTTCGCCCCCGGAGACCAATGGGTCCTCCCTTGGTTTGATCGAGTTTTCTGGGGTCGGCCCCCGCAAAGAGTCTATGATGCTCTTTGGCCAGACGGCGTCCTCCATTTGGTGTGGGCTGAATCTCAAGGTCCCGCAGGATTTCGCTGCTCAGGAGGCCCCTGAGGATCTTTTGGAATGCGGCCAGAGCACCTTGGACAAGGCCGGACTTTACTTTCACAGGGCTCGGATGGCCTTCGAACGTCAGGGTAGGGAGACGGCCAGAGTGCGGGCTGAATGTGATGCCCTTCTGAGGAATGCGAAAGGCAGGGCCGGCACTCTTCAAGAGAAGGCCGATGCCCATGACAAGCTCATTCAGGAGAATGCCTCTCAGAAGGAGCTCCTCAAGAAGCAGGAGGCCGAGCTCGTGGATCTCCGTAGCCGGATGTGGGCCGTAGAACAGGCCAAGGTGGAGCTTCGCCAGACGGGCGTGGACAATCATGTCCCCATTTATGAGGCCGATGTTGCCAAGATCAAGGAATCTGGTTCCATTGCCTTTCAGAAATCCAAGGCCTATACTGGCGCCATTCACACCATGGCCATGAAGTTCCTCCCGCGGCTCGTCGGCGAGTTCCTGGCCACCTGCCCGGATGCCTATCAGGACGGGGTGAGATTGCTCCAGGCCACACCCACCGGACGTCGTTTCCTTGACGATCTCGCCGATGACACCTACCGCAAAGGTATGGTTGGGCTAGTAGCGGAGAATCTCCCGACGTTTGAGCGTCACTTTGGGGCTCCCTTTGATCCGGAGGCGGCTGGTTTCGACGTCTTGATGGCAGACGCTCATGCAGGGGCCCTTGAGCTGCTGAAGGAGCAGGAGGAAGCCGCAGCTAGTGATAAATCCACGCAGGCCCCTTCCCAAGCTCCAGCTCCGGACGCCGATCTGCCGTGATTCTCTGCTCATCATCATGTACTTGTACAATTTTTCATTATTTGTATTGTACTCTGATACATTGTAATTTTCCGGCCAATAGTGCCGAGGAATAAAAATCATTCTTTGCTCCATGCTCGTCTGGCATCTTTTTTTTTTTTTTTTTTTTTTTTTTTTTTTTTTTTTGGAGTCTTTTAGTCTTCGTTCGTCCTTGGTCCTTGGCCCTACCGATGTTCCTACTTCGAGGAGACGTTCGGTATCCGCAGACATCGCAAGTACGAACAGGTTTATCTACATCGAGATTCCCCCCTTCTTCGTTCGTCCGTGGCCCTTTTAGTCTTACCGGCGTCTCTTGCTTCGAAGAAGACGTTCGGTACCCAAGGGACTCGCAGGGACGAACAGGTTTACCCTCGCGGGTTCCCGTCTTCGTTATCCCACGTCCATCGATCCATGGTCGTTTGTGGGATAAACAGGTTTATCTTGGCAGGCTCCCTTGGTTCGTCTAGCCCCCTCCACGTCTCTACTAACCTCTACATCGAGAGGCGTTCGCCTTCGGTGGTGGGGGAAGATCTGGCACACCCGGGCAAGATTCCCTTCCGTGTAGAAGCTTCTCTCCTCTTCTCCCCATTTTTTTTTTTTTTTTTTTTTTTTTTTTTTTTTTTTTTTAGGGAGGTAATCTTCGTTCGTCCTTGGTCCTTGGTCCTACCGGCGTTCCTACTTCGAGGAGACGTTCGGTATCCGCAGACATCACAAGGAGGAACAGGTGTACCTGCATCGAGATTCCCTGGTGCTTCGTTCGTCCTTGGTCCTTGGTCCTACCGACGTCCCTACTTCGAGGAGACGTTCGGTATCCGCAGACATCACAAGGAGGAACAGGTGTATCTGCATCGAGATTCCCTTCTTTAGCGGTCGTTGGCAAGAACAGAAGTGATGTAAAAAACAGGGGGCCTTTATTATTGACGACGTCCGGTCATTTTACATGGGAGTGGAAATATAACAAGGATATCAGCCTCTAATTATTGATAAAACTTCTTCAGGTGCTCTACGTTCCACATCCCGGCATGGTTCCCATCCAGGGTATGAAGGAGGAACGTCCCCTGGTTGTATCTCCTGATGACCCGGTAGGGTCCTTCCCAGTTCTTTGCCATTTTGCCGCCTTCGAGCGGCTTGCTCTTTTCTCTTTTCCTGAGTACGAGGTCCCCGGCCTCTATTTCCCGGAATTTCACGGCCTTGTTGAAGTATCTCTGGGTGGCCCTGTGATATTCTTCCATGCGACGAGCCGCCAGGTCCCTCCGTTCCTCAATGAAATGGAGCTCCGCTCGCAGGTTGGTCTCGTTGTCCTCCGGCTGGAAGTGCTTGGTGCGGTGTGTAGGTACCAATACTTCCGTCGGTACCTTAGCTTGGAAACCATAAGCTAAGGCGAAAGGGGTCTCGCCAGTTGCCGTTCTGGGCGTTGTTCTATACGTCCACAAGACATAATTCAGCTGTTCCGGCCAGGTGGAGGCGTAGTCCTCTAACTTCTTCTTGATTCCATCCATGATGGTCCGGTTCATGTTCTCCACTTGGCCGTTGGCCTGCGGGTAGGCCACCGAGGCCTTAGAGTGCCTGATGCCCCACTTTGCCAAGTATGCCTCAAAGCCTCTGCCGATGAACTGCCGGCCGTTGTCAGTGATGATCTGCTCTGGGATTCCGAAGCGGCAGATGATGTTCTGCCAGACGAACTTCTGGCACTGGAATTCAGTGATGGAGGCCAACGGCTCGGCCTCGACCCACTTCGTGAAATAATCAACCGCCACGATGACGAACTTCCTTCCACCAGCAGCCGTTGGCAGAGGGCCCAGCAGGTCTATGCCCCACCTAGCAAAAGGTAGTGCGATGGTCATCGGGGTGTAGAAACTTGCTGGACGGCCAGGGACGGGTGCATACTGCTGGCATACTGCGCATTTCCGGGTGTGATTGAAGCAATCTTGCTGTATGGTCGGCCAGTAATAGCCTTGCAGGATGATTTTCCTGGCCAAGGTCCGGGGGCCCTGGTGGCTGGAGCAGATCCCTTCATGTATTTCCTCGATCACCGCCGCTGCCAGGCTCGGCGGGAGGCATCGGAGGTAGGGTCCGCCGAACGTCTTCTTGTAGAGCTGCCCGTCAATAAGTTCAAAGTTAGGGGCACGCCTCTTTACCCATGCGGCTCTTCCTGTACTGCCATCATCCTCGGGCTCAGGGAGTGTTCCATCTCTGAGGTAATCTGCTATCTCCTTCGCCCAGTTAGGTTCGGCCATGGAGATAACCTCCACCTGGATGACGTCTGTTGCCGGTACTGGGAACACCTCCTGCCTAACGAAGCCTCTAATGTGTCGGGGGATGCCTGAGGCCGGATCATCGGTTGGGGGGTTGCTTAGTTTCGACAGTATGTCCGCCTCAGCATTCTCCACCCGCGATACCTGCTCAAGCACCACCTGCTCAAATTGTGCGGTCTGTTCCTCCGCCAGCTCTTTGTAGACCTTCATTCTCTCTTCCCTGGTTTCTGCCGTACCGTTCATCTGGGTTACCACCAGCTGGCTGTCCATTCTCACCTTCAGACGGGCTGCTCCGAGGGCTTTCGCGCATTTCAGACCTGCGATAAGCGCCTCGTATTCAGCCTCGTTGTTGGTGACCTTGAACTCGAATTTCATAGAGTAGTAGGCCTTGAAACCTTCGGGGGAAGTGATCACCGCTCCCCCGCCACAGCCCCGCGCACTTGAGGCCCCATCGGTGTACATCTCCCACCAAGTGTCGAAGTCGTTGCTGTCATGGGTTTCGTCCTCGGTGCGCGCGGTGCATTCTGCAATGAAGTCCGCCAGTGCCTGTCCCTTGATCGTCGGCCTTGGTTTGAACTCCACGTCATACTGGCCGATCATCAGGGACCACTTGGTTATCCTCCCGCTCGCCATTGGATTCCTGAGGATGGTGGCGAGGGGTTGCGTTGTGTAGACGGTCACCGGGTGTGCCTGAAAATACGGCGCCAGGCGCTTGATGGACGCAATCAAGGCAAGGATCGTCTTTTCCATCAGTGTGTATCTCGTCTCGGGGCCGTTCAGTGCCTTACTCACGAAGTATATTGGCCGCTGGACGGCTTCAGACTCCTTTAGCAGCACAGCGCTCACGGCTAGGTCGGCTACCGCCAGATACATGTACAATCTCTCCCCGGGATCCGCTTTGGTGAGGACGAGCGGAGAAGAGAGATATACCTTGAAATCTTCGAAGGCAGCCTGGCATTCCGGGGTCCACTCAAAGGGACTGGCTTTTTTCATGATCTGGAAAAAGGGGATCGCCTTATCAGCCAGCTTGGATAAGAATCTGCTCAGGGCCGCTAGACGCCCGGTGAGCCGCTGCACGTCTTTTAGGTTCTTCGGGGCCTCCATGTCCATAATCGCCTTCACCTTCTCCGGGTTAGGCTCGATCCCCCGCTCGCTCATCATGTAGCCGAGGAACTTGCCGCCCCGGACGGCGAAGGCACACTTCTTCGGATTGAGCCTCATGCTGGCCCTCTCCATGATGCCGAAGACCCTCTCCATGTCCTGGACATGGTCCTCCTTTCTCTTGCTCTTGATCAGGATGTCATCCACGTAAGCTTCCATTGTCTTCCCAAGTACGTCTTTGAACAACATCCCAATCATCCTCTGAAAAGTAGCCATGGCGTTCCTCAGGCCGAACGGCATGACGATGTAGCAATACACGCCGTCCGCCGTAACGAATGCCGTTTTTTCGGCATCATCGGGGTGCATGAACACCTGATGGTAGCCCCTGAATGCGTCCATGAAGCTGAGCAGCTCGCAGCCTGCCGTCTCATCCACCAGCAAGTCGATCCTCGGAACAGGGTAAGGATCCATCGGACAAGCTTTGTTGAGGTCCGAGTAATCGACGCACATCCGCCAAGTGTCGCCCTTCGGGGCTAGTACCACGTTGGCCAACCACTCCACGTGGATGACCGGCCGGATGTGTTTGATGCTGAGGAGAGTTGCCGTCTCCTTCCTGATGAAGTCGCGTCGGTCGGCCGCCATGTATCTTTTCTTTTGTTGTAAGGGCTTGGCGTCCGACCGCACGGCGAGTCTATGGCATATGAGGTTGGGGTCGATGCCCGGCATGTCCTCCGGCCCTCTGGCGAACAAGATCCTGAACCTCCGGAGGGCGGCTATGACCCCCGCTCTGATTTCTGGCTCTAGATCTGCGCCGATGGACACCCTCCTGTCCATCGGGTCGTCGAGCTCGATTTCTTCCAGCAGAGTTGCTGGTTCCAGATGAGCGTCTAAGTCGGCCTGTTTGGCCTTCTCGGAGATGCTGTTGACCCGAGCCTCCCGCTCGTTGAGCCTCTCCATGGCCTTCGTGTAGCAGGCCCTGGCCATATGCGGGTCCGTACGTGCTATCCCCACCCCAGTGTCGGTGGGGAATTTGATGCATGAATGCCGTACGGAGCATATGGCCCCCAAGTCTTCCAGGCCGGGTCGGCCCAAAATGGCGTTGTGGGCGCACTTCAGGCGGACCACGACGAACGTCATCCCGACCCGGACGGTGTGAGGGCCGTCGCCGATCTCTACTGGCAAGCTGATGGTGCCCTCAGCGTCAATGCAATCCCCGGTGAAGCCGGACAGCGGGGTGCGCAGGGGGTGCAGCATATCCTTCCTAAGCTTCATCCCCTCGAAAGCCTCCCAGTAGAGGACGTTCACACTGCTCCCGGTATCAACAAGGACGCGGCGGACAATGGCATCGTTCACGTCCATGCTGATCACCAGCTCATCTCTGTGCGGCGCTGGTGACATTGGCAGATCGGCGGGACCGAAGGTGATCGCCTCGATTTTGCTGCGTTTGGTGGGGGGTGCTGACACGGAACCCACGTAAAGTGATCTCTCGAATTTTTTCCGTTCGGCGGGTGTATCCCCTGTCTCAGCGCCTCCGAAGATCACCTTGATTTCCAACTTCTTCTTCTTGCCCTTCGGGCCGAGGGATCCCTCCGGACGTTTATCCGTACTTCGATAATCCACGTCCTGAGGTTCTGCCTCGCGCCGATCGTCGCGGCGCCATGTCTTGTGCCTTTGGTTCGGCTTCTGCTGGCTGTTTTTGTTCAGCAGCTGGGTGAACTCGCCCAAGTACCCCTGGCGGATCAGCT